CTTTTCTGCTGCTGAAGAGGGTGTCATATCACCACAAAGGATGAAAATCAAGAGACTTGTCTAAGGGCCAATGAGCATGCATATATACATATATATATCTTCAGGCCATAGGATACCTTAAAACTATTATCATCTATTATCATATACAAAACCTTTATCATATATTACAACTATTATCATCTATTATCATATACAAAACCTTTATCATATATTAAAACTATTATCATCTATTATCATATACAAAACCTTTATCATATATATATATATATATATATATATATATATAGGCTTTTGCATTCAACATCATCACTTGATAAGACACCGGGGGTGTTGAAACAAAATGGCTATTTTTTGTAGTGATTTTATAACAATGTTATGTTATAAATTTTCTAAATAAATAATTATATATATATATATGTGTGTGTGTGTGTGTGTGTGTGTGTGTGTGTGTCATGTCACCACAAATATATATGATAAAGGTTTTATATATGATAATAGTTTTAAGGTATCCTATGGCCTGTAGATTGCATTTAAGCATGAAACAGAATGTCAGCTCTAGGCGTTAATATCCATTTATATATATATATATATATATATATATATATATGTTTAATTAAAGACAACAATCAAAGCACTGCGATTAAGCTTTTTGTTTAATTCTTCTCGTGTTTGAATAAGTGTTTTCTTTTATGGGCACAGAGTGTGTAGAAACTGTCCAAATGTTCTGTAATTCCGAGTACTTTCAGCAATATTTTTAGCCATTATCAAGGATGGTTTTATTTTTATACAGACACCTTACAATAAAGCTATCTGACCACAGCTCCATCAGAACCCACTTAAACACATACACAAACTTACCAGACTCCTTCCAAAACATACTATTAGAAAATATAAGCATAATACCTTTATTCACATGTAAAAAAATATTTAAAATAACGGAAGCTTTAACAATAAAAAAGAAAAACGAACCCTCAATAATATTAACTGTGAACACTGCCACTATGTGCTAACTGTGTTCAGAAAATAAAACATCCCTATAACTGTAGATATATACACACAACCCATACACCCAGTTAAAAAGTAAAAATAAAATCATCATAAAAATGAAACTATTACCCTACATGAGTAAGCACGGTGGAGTAATGGATAGTGGCTCAGATTGAGAAATCGGAGATCCGAGTTCCAATTCCAGTCAAATCCATTACATTCACTTACCTTGGCAAAGGTATAAATCCTCTTCTTCTCCCCCAGCTATGGGTAAATAGCAGGATAGACTGGGTTCTATACTCTTGGATGGCAACTGGCCTACTGTAGAAAGAAATGGCAACCTACTGCAGGAATAAATCTGCTTAATCAGTAAAGTATCAAAAGATACATGATCGCCTGGCACAAAACTGATTGATGTTGACAGGCATATGTGGAGAGATAAACTGAGATTGTCTATCAAACAGGACCCTCCTTGCTTTGTGCAAGATTAATTTAGGTCATGTCTAAAAAAAAAAAAAAAAACACAGCTATGATATTTCTGCAGGAGTAATCTAGGATTTTATTAATACACTTAATTATTATCACATGTAAGAATGAAATCTGCTTTGTAAATCATAAAAAATATCAAAAGAAAGCTAATAAAAAATAATGTCCATATTTAAGTCATCTTTACAATTGCATTGATTATTTTTTCTGCATAATCCAATAATTTAATTATAATTTAATTATATGGTTAGCTCTAATGTTATATATAAGAAAGAATTATACTCTTTAGATTATTAAAAGGATAAATATTTAAAGAAGGCTAATAAACCAATACTCTCAAAAAAATGATGTCAGTATTTAAGTCATTTTGCCAATATATTGATCATTCTCTGTATGCGCAATCAAGAATTTTATCACACTACAATGTTTTTTTTGTGATGTCAACTAATACTCATTGTCACTTTTTATAGTAGAGACTTTTTAATCTCAGATACAACTATAGTATGCCGTTGAACAATGCTGGTGTCAGATGCCTTCATATAACACTCACACTAATAGTACTTACATGATAATACTTGCTCGATTAGTAATCCATATAGAGAAATAGCATAGAGAAGAGAATCGCAAACCATATAGTAATAGCGGATAGAGTAGAAATAGAAATGGTGATCATTTAGACATCACGTGACTTCCTACTTATGCGTTTCCTGTATGGTCACATGGTCTACTTAATTCAATAACAGGATCGCCTGTGTTTTATCACTGGCAATCTATGTTCAAACTCAAGTGTCAGCAGTGATTTCTATATAACAGTTGCATGTAAGAAAGAATGTTATTCTTTAAATCATTAAAAGACAAAAGCACTCAAAGAAAGATAACATGAGACAAAAGAAATAAAAGTTATTAGAAGCATGAACTCCCCTACTTACTAACGAGATATTCTGTTGCTGTTGCAGCACAAGGCCTGTTAGTTATTGGTTTTGAATAAGGCCTCAGTCTCTCAAATTGGGGAATATATGAAGTTGCATTGTGTTTACATTATAGAAAAGATTATTATCCCTGCATACTCTGTTGATTAATTGATTAGTTAGGATTTATTTTTCAAACCGTAGAGCTTCCAAGATTTATTTCAAAAGATTATGATTGACATAATCCAAAAAACAATCTGATTATATTTAAGTTTCATACAGGTTTTAATAATTAACAATAGAGAAAATTTTTCATATAGAAAGCATTGAAAATTTTTGGCTCAACCAAGAGAAGATATAAAAAATCATCTGATGTTTGGCAATTTGAGCAGATCAGATATTGGTAAGTGGGTTGAGCATAAAACTTTTAAACAAACCCTTTATATAATTTTTAATATATATATATATATATATATATATATAATTGAATAATATAGACATATTGTGTCTACTTATTTTTATACTGATCCTTTCTGGTTTCTTATTTTTATACTAATCCTTTCTGGTTTCTTGATGTTAATATGAAATTCATTAAGGTAGGTGGCATAGTTTGTGTTAACCAGAGTATTTTTGATCTTCTCCAAGATAATCTTCAGGGGTAAATTACAAAGACAGACTTCTGGAGTAACCTCCAGAAAGTTTTTTTATAATTTAGTAATTCCTCCTTGGTTGAGAAGGGGTTTAAACCATGTTTGACAATCTTCCTAGAGATAGTGCCTTGATAAAAGTGCCTGGCTTCCTGTGCTGTGAACTAGTTAATAAGAGTAGATAGGTTCGCCTATCAGCTGACCAGTACTTCTTTCATGTTTATTGAACAAGAATAGAGATTTACTACTTCTTTTCTGTTTAGGATTTGATTTACCAATTCTTTTTTTCCATACCCTTAATGACTTAACTATCTTAATTTTGTGATCTAACTGAGCCAGTGGCTGCAACATTTCCTTTTAAGGGAAAGGAATTGGCAGTTTCCCAGCTGCTGCATCCTAACTGGTAGTAAGGAGTCTAAACACTTTGGTAGCAGTGAGGCTGCTTTGGTCAACAGTTACATAATATCAAAGTATTTTCAGTGACATGTCACACATGAATAGGTGTCACTGCATGTACTTCCAGTAGACAACACTGAAGCTACATTATGCTTTAGTCTTAGCTACCTTCTGCACAGATTCTAATACCATAGATGATAGAGATAATTATTTTGGGCTTTTCTCCTTAAAAATTCAAATAATCTTATAAAGTAAACAAAAAATTACCTACCCCACTCAACCTTTCTTTCGCAAATATTTTTGGCATTTGTTCCAATTTCTGTAGCATAGAATCTTTTCTCTTGAAACTTTCTCCAGATATCTTAGCACTTTACAAAACTAATTTAAACTCTTCTATCACTACCAATGAATTCTCTGTCAAAAAGATTCAAGGATACATATGCATGGCCTCAGTATTTACATCTAGGAAAATCTTCCAATGCCAGGGAATTATCTCTCGAGTCCCCAGATGATTCATGCACTTTTGACTTTCTTTACTGCACTTTGTTAGCTATCTCTTTTTCTATTATTGGTCCTCTTCTTCTCAGCAATATGGCTTTTGCTTCTCTAGGTCAACTGCTGCATGCATTAATGAGTATTGATGCAAGAACTTATAAAGCTTTGAATAAGAATGGTGAAGCTCAGACTGTTGCTTTTGAGATCTCAAACACACTTGAAAGGTTATGGTATTTCTGGATGAATTTTTCATCTGATTCAATCTTTCTATTCAAATCAAATAATGAAAGTTGCTTTGAATAGTGACTCTTCTAGAACCTTTTTTCATTAATGCAATTGTTACCCAGAGTTTTATCATTTGACCTTCATTATTTCTTATTTTCATTAATGGCCTTCCCAATGTCATCGCTTCTCAACTCGGTATCTATACTGATGAAACAACTACTAACTCCTGTCTTAACAGTAAGTCTGATCAGTTTGATAAGGTCAAATTGGCAGATGATCTCAAAATAAGTTTACCATTCATCCATGCATTGAATATTATTATCACATCTTGTCTGTTGCTTCTGCTATGTATTTAGAGATTGTTGAACTATCCAAAGAGTATGCATGTTATTGGTTCTGACATAGCATCTCATCTTCAATTACTTTCCCAGCACTGTAACATAGATTCCCTGTTCCTTTTCTAAAAATATTTTCATGACAATCATTCTGGTGTACTTTCCTCTTTGGTAACTTGACTTAAAGCTCAATACAAGATTGGCATCTAGGTTTCATCATTTTACAGTTAAAATGACTAAATGTAACCATAAGTTCTATACTAATAGTTTCTTCTCTCATACTTCTTGCTTATGGAACTCTCCTCTGGCCTCTTGCTTTCCATTTAACTTTGATCTTCAAAAATTTAAATGCATTATCTTCTATCTTCTTAATTCCTTGTACTTAATTTATATTTCTCTCTATTTAACATTGTTTTTCTTTTTCTCATATTCTTTCACACTCAGTAACTTCTTGCATCTTAGTGACTTTATCCCCTTACTTGGGGGTGAAATGATTAAAAAAATTTCTCACATGTACTTACATTCCAAGGAATTGGAAAAATTATCTGTTTTACAATTTTTCTGATGAATATCATGGCAGCCGGGGTTTAGACTGAAAATAAAGAAAAATTCAATTAGTCAATAATAAATTTTTCTTTTGTCAAATATTTATAGAAACTACACTGCTTGTTGGCTATTGTGGCATGTGGGAGCTTCTTTACTTTGCTTGATTGGCAGTAGCAACAAAGGACGTAATCATCAGGGAACAACCAGAAGTACCAGAACTTCTAAAAATGGTGACCAAGCACTATTCAGTCTCTTTTCCATGTCTCCCTTTCAGTGGCCACAACCCAAAGGCCAGATCAAAGGACTACTCACAACCCTGCAGAAGACACACTACAAGCTTGACCTGAGATTTCTCATTCCTCATGAGAACAAGTGGAGAAATATCCCCTTTGAGGCACCTACCCAAAGGAAAACTACTCACAACCCTTGCTGCAGAAGACACATACCAGTCCTAGCAGTCTGACACTCAGATTTCTCATTCCAATGGGAACAGGTGGAGAAATCTCTCTACGAATCATCTACTCAAGTGAAGAATTTTGTTAACAGAGAAAAACCAACTTTTTTTCCACAGAATACCACTATTTTTGCACTCTCTTTTCGGCTACAAATAAAGGCTGGTAAACAGTTATTTCAAGCTTTGGTTTTGTTCATTCCACTTGTGATATGGCCCTCAATGTTAATTGTTAAATCAGATGTACAATAAATTTAATAAGAGATGCACTGTCTTTGTGTTTCTACATCTCTTTTTTTACTACTGATCTGGACTGAGTTGTGTTTCAGCTAAGAGAGGTCAGAAAAGGAATTTGAGATCACTTGACAACAAACAGAATGATCTCCTAAGAAAGAGTAGGAATGGAATTTGGGGTGCATGACAACAAACAGAATGACTTCCTAAGAAAGAGTAGGAATGGAATTTGGGGTGCATGACAACAAACAGAATGACTTCCTAAGAAAGAGAGTTGGTATTAGTCAACTATGATCATGTGATATACATCACCAAGTGGGATTTTGGTATTGTAACTTTAATTTTCCAGTGACCTCCAACAACAACAGTTTGCAAGAAAAATAGACTCTCATCATACGATCATGAGGGATGAGAAAAAAATCCACAAGCCTATTCCATTATTTGTGTAGGGAATAAGGAAATTTTGTTCCAGAGATCTTGGGTCTATTTAACTATTGGGTAAAGAATATCATACCCAAAGAAATAAAAGAAAATCATCATCATTTCATCTTGGATGCAATCCAATTAACTAGGGGAAAACAGAACACAAACATTATTCTGGAATCTTATATTTCACATTGCGGAAGGGAAAACAACCAACTTCTGCAAACATTCTATAGCAACTTTGTCATTACAAAACTTCAAACTCCAAATTCCTGAAACACGAATGTTTGAACTGTCATCCAATATCAGCTAAGTGTTCTTTTATTAATAGTACATCTGTTACTCTATACTTTTCGCATATTTTATATTTTGTATTTTGTTCTATAAAATTTATTGACAAGCATTGATCTTGTGTTTGTTGTTCATTAGTACCTGTTCATGTGTTCTTATCTGAGTGAACCGACCCTTTTTCTTTTTTTTAAATATGGGGTTCATACCTTCATACATTGAGAATTCGTAACACATTCTATACACTGCCAAGCACATACACAAATATGCAACCAGGAAAATTCCTACATATTAATTGCCACTTCATCTTGAATTTTGTATTTCTTATTTCTCTACTTTGGGAAGCATTGCAAGAGAGAATAAAAAAGTGAAACAGAAATGTGAAGGTGCGTTGTCAAGTGAAAGATGCTTTCTAAAAGCTATGTCAAGCATTAAGAAACAGGAAAATTTGGGTAGAAACAAAGAAAAGAAACAAAGTAAAGAGTGCTAAACTGCTTTGTAATAGCAATCATCCTATATAGCAGTGAATGCTGGAAAATTTCTTCACGGATTAAGAGGAAACTTGAGGCAGCAGAAATGGAATTATACAGAAGGGTGTTGAGAATACTATAGATGAAACATGTGATCAATGAAGGAGTTTTAAGGAAAATGGAAACAAAAAGGACACTGTACTTAGTATCAGAAATAGACAATTGAAATTTCTCAGATATATAATGAGGAAAGAGTACTTGGAGAATTTGATACTCACTGAGCTTATAGATGGAAACAGAGCATAACTTAACAAGTTTGTACAAATCAATGGCAGAAAAGGAACTGAGAGAGATAGTGGACAAGAACTGCTTGGAGCTATGAAGACATACAACTCATAAATTAAGATTTATATTATTAGTAATTTCTATATCTATTTTATAATAGTTTTATCTATTAATGAAGTCATCATGCAAGCTACTAAACCTGATTTAACCTATTTCTGAATGACCCATTGTGATATTCATTATTACAAAAGACATTTAAAATTTGATATGAATTAATTGAAAATGTAGTGTTGATGCTCAGACCAGACACCAGATTTGTTCTCAAGGTGCAGCTTCTTCCAGCCAAATGCTTGTTGCTTAAAAATTAACTCTTTGACCAGATTGTTTCTCATTAAATGAAATCACTAGGCAAATTTTATTCAGTAGCAACTTTCCACTGTAGACAAGTAAGGCAGAGGTGAGGCAACTTGAGGAGGTTCCACGGTCTAATGGGTATGTCACTCAGACTTTTGCTCCTAGGAACCACTGTCTTATAGTGAACAGCATTCTTTGTCTTCAGCTCTGTCTAAAAATGTAATTCATCAAGAACTCAGTCTGGCTTCATTCAGCGATCTTCTTTGTCAGGATTATTTGACCTGGTTCTTGGGAGGTTCACTCTATTAAGCTGAGCTTCTTTGCCAAGACAGGTAATTGATGTGTTACAGGTGGGTCCTTAACAAGATATCAGCTGACACTGATATCACTACATGAATCCATTTTTTTTTTATTTATTAAAAATATTATTTGAAGGGTTAAACAAACAAAAATAAGTTTAGCTGTCCAAAAACTCTTGGAAGGATAATGACTAGTCTCGAAATTCCATTTCCATAAATTTTATTTCTTATAAGATACAAAACTGTCTATACTGGAATCACATTTTAAGTGTACATGGTTTTTTCAGAAGATGGTACATGGTAGTGATTTTGAATATTTTAACTGTTTATTCCTCATGTTTCATTCAGTGTTGCTTGGTTAAACATATCACCCATGTAGGTCTAATGTCAATCCCCTCTCAACTAAGTTCAGATTTGGTTGCCCATGACTTAGTTTTTCCAAAATCTAAAATCACTGTTGAAACAGAAGAGATTTCAGCTCTTGGCCAAGATTAAGGAGAATGAGACAAGACAGTTGGTGATCCCAAAAGTAGAATGTTTTTGAATTGTGAAAAATACCAATGGTAATACTTTGAAGATGACTAAGGTCCCATTGCACTTGGTAGGCTGTTTTTTTATTAATATTAAATAACGGTTTTGTCATTGGGTATGTGTGTGAAAAAATACATTTTGTACATCTTAAGGGTTTGACAAATTTCTTCAGAGGAATTGTCCTCCACATTTTTGTTTTAGATTTAGAAAAAATATTATGCATTCTTTGCCTTGGTTCAGTTATTAGTGCTGTTTCTGAAAAAAGAAACTGAATTCACTGTTGCTTCATTTCATCCTATACAGCTATTTTCACCAAATATCATTTTCAAAACTGTCTGCATAATTTTTAATACAAAGCAGTAGCCATACATACTATTAGGAAGAGCTGTTGTTGCTGAAGATTCAAGCCAGCATTGTCCAGTAATTTAAATGCCAGCACTGTGTCAGGAAAAGTCATCTTGTATTTATTGTATTTTAGGTATGTCAAATTGCATAATTGTTATATTCCGTGCTAATAGGAATATATACATGAAAAACACAGTGGATAAAATAAATAAAGGTTTATTGTAAAAACCAGTACAATAAGAATAAAGGTAACAGTTATACACAAGGTTGTCGCAGGTCAATCCAGTAGCGAGTGCTACTATTGGAAGGTTGATAGTTCTTGCGTAAGTCTGAGTCATGCTCAATAGATCCCAGCTAATCTCCGCAGTCCGTTAACTTGCAGCTACTTATAGGTAGTTACTACCTATAGTGTAGTCACCCATGGGGAGGACAGGTTATTTCATTACATCAATATTATAATTTGATATGGACTTTGTCTCCAGTCTTTGAAAACTCTAAAACTATTTATATGCCTCATAAGCAGAATCTACTGAATCTTTCATATATAAATCCTCCATTGTAATAATCTCTTTTCTGTTTTTCAATGATGCTCTGCTTTCAATGTTAAATTAACAACTAACACAGATTCTTCGAACAATACCAGAAAAAAAGCTGCCCAGAGAACAAAACGCAGTTTATTTATAGAACACAGCTTAACTGGAACAGTCCACAGGTGAAGTGGGCAAGCTCCATAATTCAGTCAAGAGAAAATTCACATCTGAACAGTAATGCTTCCCTTCAATGCACAGTAAAAAAAAAAAAAAATAATACCACACAAAGGCTCAAACCAACAGAGAGGATAGGTTTTCTTGTTGGAGGAGATGCTGTTGTTGCAATATCTGTTCCATGCCAGTGGCTGTCCTCTACCCACTGCCTGAACATAATTTTCAGACTTGTTCTGCAATATCTGTTCTATAGCAGTGATATGACCAGATTAGACCAGTGGCCCAAGTGGAGACACTCGGGTCCCCACATTAAAACAAGCCAACTTTGTATCACAAACTTACTCAGTCGGAAGTCAAAGGTAAATACCCAAAGACTCAAACAAACAAAATTACTTTCTTTTGTTTTTTTAATCATTTCATTGCAAGCAAGGTAATAAAGCCTGTGCCATCTTGAATAAATTGGATGTAACCAGAAAATCTGATCTACCAGACAACCTCAAATGGAGATTCTTTCATGCCATTGTAGAGTCAGTTTTTATGTATGGTACCACTACTTGGACATTAACTAAAACCCTAGTCTTGATGGAACCTATGCTAGGATGTGCAGAACTATACTTAACATCAGTTGGAGACAACATTCAACTA